CCATATTATTTCCAATTCGTTCGGACGTCTGTCATTCAATGCAATATACTCTGTGGTGTTGAAATGCTTCGTTAAACAGCTCAGTAATTAATTCATGCAAGCCTTTCTGCCTCATCTTTTTGGGAATTCACGTAGAAAGAGAACGGATCTACTATTGATGCTGATGTAAATTTAATGGTTTAACAACGCTGCTTACAGAGAACGTGTTTTGACTGATGCTGTATGATAATTCGATAAAGCTTGCTAGTGCTTACAACAAACACGACCAACCAATTAAAAACTATTAACACGAGAAGCGATTTCGGTCCACGATTACATTATCAGCCTGTGATGTCATGGTAGTTCTAAACTATTTTATTCTCTCGTAAATGTCATACCATGTCACTCCAGAGCAGCAGTGCGTCTCTTGGAGCAATATAGCAGTCTCTGTTTCTCGGTTCTTCCAACTGGATCTTCGCTGTTGAGTGGTTATGTATTCGTTAGGCTCTGGGTTTGATTCCCGTCCCAAAACCGGATATCCTAAGGGCTTCGCGTTTAGTGAGCGTATAGGTTTTATCTTAAAATACAAAAAATAATAATCTCAGTATATGACAATACAAAATATACACTATAGGCCTATTGGGTAAAGGATAATGTCCAGCATAGAATTTGTATGGGTTTGCCCATGTTATGTCTTCTGCTATTCCCCCCTTGGCTATTTGGAAATCATTGAATTAGTGCATCTGTTGATTTATAATTCAGTAACAAACGAGGAGAGAAAAAAGAAATTAACAATCTAGGCAGCTTATAAAACCCAGTTTTGGACGAAAATGAAGTTATAAGTTTTCAAATAGGCGGTAAGATTGGAAAATATGAAATTTGTTCCACATACAGCCGAGCTTTGTGATCGCTCTCGTCTTAACCCTTTAAAGCCGAAACTCGTCTGAATAAAGTTCAAACAGCTTAGTCTCATCTAAGAGAAAAGTCTCCGTCAGGGCAGTGATCGCTGTTTACGCTGAGAATCATACAAAATCCATAAATGCAGAGTTACTGCGTGGTACGTATAATGCAACTGGAAAGCAGATTTATTTTGTAACCTGAAGGAATATATCTGCTTAATCAAACTGAATATTGCAGAGGTATTACGCCGTTAGCCGAAGAGAACCTGAAGAAAGCTGTGGTAGCCGTCACCAAATTGCGTGCCTGAAGGCTGCGGAAGGACTTTGCCCCCCGCCGTGTTCGAAGTCGCCGTTAGAGAGTTGCTAGCTTTGCTACAGTGCGAGGTTTTTAGCCGATAAGTGGTAGTTATTAATTTACGATCACTGCATAGAAAGAAAAACAAGCATACACTAAATATAGAGATGAATAAATAAGTAAGCACGCGCTAAAGGGAGTAAATAAATAAATGAGTTTTAATAAAGAATGGAAAACAGAAAGAAATAGACAAATGCAATTAAGAAAGGGATGAAGAAACGTGAGGTAATTGAAGAAGGGAGGATGGAAACACTAAATAAGGAGAGGTCAAAAGAGAATCATACATAATCTAAATAAATAATTAAAGAAGCAGACAGACTCTAAACATTGGCCTAAAATGAAAGATTCAAACGTCTAATGAAGAATGAAACAGACGACCATTAAATAAAGTAAAAAAAAAGAAACTAAAAAACAAGCAAACACAAAGGAATAAATAAAGAGACTAGAGAAAGGCAGGCAGGCAAGCTCTTTCTCAGGCACGAATTGTGGTTCTGCGCCATTCGTTTTTACTGTTGAAGTTCTGTCGAATCCAAGTCTTGTTCGTACAGGGTATCTGATGCAGTGGGATTTCTTCGTGAATTTTCACCTTTTTGGTAGCATCCTGTCCGTGCTAAAGAATTGTGAACTTGAGCAATCTGACAAGTTTTACGTTTATTGAAACTTATAGTGGATTTATTATGGCTATGAATTCCTGTTGACTTGCACGATGCTTAGTCACATGGCTGAGCCCCTGCAGAAGTGAGGATTGAGTGTTCATGATTAGTTTCTTTAACGATGATAAAAAAAATAAACCATGCTTGCTATATAGGGGATTCAAACACAAGACAGTGAGTTCCGTTCCGTTCCGTTGTATGTACCAATCCTTTGCTTTCGTGTTCTGTGGTTTCTGAGCCCCGAGATTTACAAGAAAACTCTAAAATTTCGTACAGCCGCCATGATTGCAGGAAATTTAAAAGTGCAAACTTGGACTGGTCTTTAGAGTCGGTTGGAGGGTTATTAACACTTTAAAACCAATGGTAACTATGTGTACCATCTGCTTTAGCAGTCAGGAAAGCTGCTTGTAATATTAATTTGTTTTGTATGGTTCACACTGTCAACAGTTATTATTTCCTTAAACATCTGACATATTGGCTGAATTATATATTATTATTTAGACGAGTTTTTTCAAATTCTTAAAGGGAATAGACATGTATTTATGATGCCATATGCACATCTTTCCTTATAAAACAGCATTGTAAAGGTGAAAATTCCCAGAGTTTCCATGCGTTCTTTGCACCGTCATATTCTGAATATAAAGACGTGTGTTCATTCTTAAAACAAGATACTTAACTTTATTGTACAAATATCTTTCATCAGAACTTATTTCTCGATAGACGCATGACATATTGCATCAGTTGTGAAAGTGTGCTTATGTGATGGTCGATGTTCACTAAAAACGGACTCCACTGCTCTTTGAAAGGACCTGTAATGTCGAAATTTATCAAAATACGTCCATCGGTTCTCGACTTGAAACATGCGGACAGACACGACTTCCCGTATATGTGTTCATTTTATGCGCGTCGTGAAAAAAAAAATGAATTATTAGAGTAGAGGTGTGTTCATTTTATGCGCGTCGTGAAAACAAAAGAATTATTAGAGTAGAGAAAGATGTTTCTTTTCACGAAGACAATAACATTTTTAAAATTTTGCTGCTGACTTCCCCGAGCATCGATTCAGAAGAAATTATTAGATGTTCTGTTTCGTGTTTCCAAATACGAAATTAATGTATTTGTATCCTTTGTTTATAGAGGGAGTTGATTCTCCGAAATAACCTAAGAATCCAACGCTTATGATACATATTAATTTATTGTCAATGATTAATCGCGTCCAGCAAATGATGAATCGAATAATACGAAAATTGGGGTCAGCGCAGTCTATTAATTTATTTTAACTCGGTAGAATACTACAAGTTTATTTTCTGTAATTCACTGACTTAAGAAAGACCTGTGTATACTGCCCCACCTCTGACCTTTCATTTCCTATCCTCTTCGTGAACGCTTTATAATATTATCGTATAATAATATATGAAATTTATTCGAACGGAAATCCTGTGCTTCTCCCCCAAACTAAACCGGAACTCGCTTATTGTGTTTCGACTTGAGCAATTTACTCACAATGGAACATGATATTACGAGGAAATAATAACGAGAGATTACTTGTCTATAACGTTCTGGTTGTTGAATAAATTGAAGTGGAATGTTGAATAAAAGAATTCTCTGCATTCAATCTGCTGTTGCAGGATAAATGAACTCTTCATAAACCTTTCTTTATGTTATATCTTTGTCTTGCATACGGAATGCGTAATAATTGTGCTGAATATTGACTTCAAGTGTAAGGTACTGTGTGATTCTGTATGGCCTGGACGGGGTGGGGTCTCTCAAACGTTTGCTGAATGCTGAGAGATATTTTACCGTAAATATGCTGGTATGAGGTTCTGTGTAATGTAAACTAACAGACCTATCCATTCTACGAGGGAATTCTAATCCTAGATTTAAGGAGCAAAATCTTGAAGTTCCTAGGACTGTACTTAAATTTTGGAAGACAACACATTTCGTGAGCTTGTGTTCATCTGGCTTGTATCGGTAGGCCTGTATAGAAATCTATCTTTCTCTGTTAATGTAACAAAAGTGGGGAGGATTTCTTGGAGGTGTCATCTTTTCCCTTGTCCGGGGTGGGGTGAAAATATAGAATTACCTTGCAAGCGGCTGGAGGCTAATAACCGGCCCAGATTGCTGGGTCTGGTTTCTCATTTGCATGGAATGTGCTCGGTATCTGCAGAGTCGCCCTTAAGACCGTACCCGAGACTGCAGGTGGTGTTTGCATTGACGTGCTGCACCGGGTGGACTTCTGTTAGTTCCATTAGCGTTCGGTAAAACAGGACTTACTTCCTCGGTTGTGTGTGACGTGTTTTCATAAACTTCGTGGTTTTCTTTCCCACCTTCAGGTGTATTTCTTTTGAGTTTCATCACCATTCAGAAAGACAGAACTTTCCCCCGTTTCTGTGCCTTGCCTTCAGGTGCTTATCGAAACAGCGACAGTTGCTTAATCAGGACTAACCATTGCATTGCTGTCATTGTTTCACACGATATATTTTATTGTTTCTTATTCCTGTGACGTAAGATTTTGGGATAGCCTACCGCCACCGTTTCTCCTGAAACTGGACATCCCCTTCCATCGAACAAATTCATCCGAGTTTCTGTACTAGCATTCGTATTCTTTAATTCGAAATTCCAATCACATCTCAGTGATGGATATTGAAATTACATTACTTTAGGCATGCTTAAGTGGTCATAAGAATAGGAAAGTCGCTGACAAGTGACGCCGTTATGGTAAATGTTCCGTTAGTGGGTTTTGTATGCATTTACAGTCGATTATAGATTCAGCTGTTATAAGTCAATCGTTATGAGTTTAGACATGGCCTTCAGCTTCGCGCACACAGCTGCAGCGCACGCAAAGCATTTTCAACTTTTGCGCTCTCAAGGTCACGCGTTTTCATGCAGCGATACAACTTTTTCTTTCTTTCTCGATATCGGGCCTAAGATTTGCTTTGGGACTGGGCACATGGTGTGGTACCTCACGTTCACGATTCTCTGCTCACTTTCGGGAGATTCGCGAATCGAGTCTGGTTCCCGAAAAAGTATTGTACACTTCGTCCCAACTTTGTGTATGAGTGCTGTTGTGGGTTGTGTTTCTGTGTGTGTGCTGATTGCTTTCTGTTGTTGTTGCAGGCCAAACTGCTTGAATCTTCGCATGCTTGGCTCGGTGCCTCCACGTCGTCTCTTGCCGGTAAGTAACCAAACCTTATCCTTGACTGTCAGCAAATTCCATGTGGCTTGCATTCCTAGACTACTTCGTACTTTGTTATTAATAACACACTGTGCTGGAGAACTTGTAATTCAATACTGTTATAAAAAATCTTTTGGAGGTAGCGTATTGATTGAAATCCCATTGCATCCAAAATTAACACAGTGGTTCGAAACATTACCTCTACATAACGCATTGTTACTAACTATATAATTATTTTCAAATCAGAATACAATGATCATACAACTAGAAATTAGACACTTTTGTGTACTTCTTAGTGTGTGTATGTGTGTGTGTGATTACATACGGTTATTAAAATATCTCCAATCTGATGGTTTATTGTCTCCAGCGAATGCTCCCTCCATTGCGTCACGAGACAGTAGACAAGTGGTTTTGGAAGTCAGAATGTTGCTAGACATTTTAAATTGCTTTTTTATTTATTATTTGCATAGCTGAGTCTTATTATGTGCATTAGTTCGGAACATGAGCTGAATGCACTGTTACAGCTGTTACGAAAATCCAGTCGTTTTGTTAAATCATTAGTAACTTTAATTATACATTTGTCAGTAGTCTGCGTGACGTTCTTTACTAGAACTCGCTTGCCAGTAGTATAATTATCACCGACCCTCCAAGTATAAGAATCATTTAGCTTTCATCTACAGTACCTGTTTCATTTCTCATTTTCAGGTTGCAGTTATACCACTTCAGAAATATGCATTTTGTTTCTGTCAGTGAATTTATTTGTTCAGAAGTTGTGTAAAACTATGAAACTAAAGTTCATGCTGCAGCACACATTTTAACTTAATTAAATTAAATTAAATGTATGTAGAGGAGCATAAATTAGACGTATTTCACTTCGGAGGACACATACTGCATCAAGAATCTTGTGTCGTTCCTTTGCTTGGATTAAATGTGGTACTTGTTCACAGATGCTATCGGAAGATGCAAGTGGATTCACGTCGGTGTTTTGAATAAAATGAATAATACTAGGCCACAGTAAAACAAAGGATGTAAATTAGTTCCAGTTGTCATTGTTCAAAGCATATTTACATTACAGGGAAAAAGGGATTGTTCTGTGCGTATGATTTATTGTGTATATTTAGAATGCTGACAGAATGGTTCTGCCTCCAGATAAGAAGGATATTTAGGCACTTTATATTTCCATTGCCGTCAATATTTTCGTTAGAAGTGGTTATATACTGTAGACGAGAGGAGGGGCACTGGAACGAAAATAACCTATGTTTCTAAGCAGATGGAATCGTCAAAAAGAGAACCAAGGAGTTAGTTGAAGTTCATTTTTGATGTTACTGCGACCAGTCGTTTCTGCATAAATGTATGCCAGTGACGAAGCTAGTGAAATTGCATTGTGCTTATAAAGAGATAACTTCTTGAACAACCTTGTTTTGTTTTCAGAATCGTAATAGGGAGCCTGTGTATAGCTAATAAAGTGAAATGTTCGCTTCTAAAGCCCACTCTTATTATAACTGAATGAGAACCTAAAAAAATACACGCACGTGGTCACTCCTTCCAATAGCATGGCCACGGAACGCTGCGGTTTAGTGTTTATCACTTCTTTCGTAACTCCTGGGTTCGAATCTAGGTCCGGTGACCGGCGTTCCTGATTGATGGGCTCTTTTTTTTTCTTAATCCTTCCAGGAAAATGCTGAGATATACCAGCATATACATTCTACCATTCGACGTCTTATAAACCTGTGCAGCTGTAACAGCGTAGTTAAATAATTGACAGTCGAACGTATAGTTGCGTGAGGTAGACGAACATTCTAGACTATGAATGAAGAGAGACACTACATTTGACGGGGTAAACAGATAACGTTTTGGCTGTGGAGGGTCCCAGGCGGTGCCCGCTCGTCCGTCTGGCATAAAGGTAGGCTGGAGAGAAGTGAGACTTTCGGAAGTGGAGCAGGATTTTACTTCAGTCCATCGGAATTTTTAATTTTGACATTCGCCTTGGGAAGGGCAGCATTCGGTGGAATTTTTGCATTTCCATTGGGCGAATTTTGATATTAATATTGAGAGAGCTGCATGAGAGTCATGCAGTGAAACGTGGAATTTTGGTATCGGCTTAGAATTTGCTCTAGGACCTAGGAAAACCACTGTAAACCATGATCGAATTGACTGGTCCCAGGACCTCCCGGATGTGCACAGACTTGTAGCCAGCAGTGTAACTTAAATACACGAACCCTAAGGGTAGTTTGTCTCTGTTGTTTTATTTCGAAAGCATTTACAGAAAAATGTATCGCTGTTTGCCCTGAAAATCGTACGAACCCCATGGATACACTCTGTGCGCATAATGCCGAGTTTTTGATTGCTAAATCAGGTGGGACATAACAGCAGACCAAACTTATGTTTGCTAATACGTACGAGTATTTAACTTTCTCTGGAAATAGGTTACTGGGCTGTTCTGGCTTGATTGAAACGGGTGCACTGTTTGTATTGTATATGCCGAAACATTTTATTATGGCATATTTCACACCGTAGAGACTGAAACAAATTGTTTAGCGTGTGTACAATTCTCAAGTCTTAAAAGATATATTAATTTTACGTAATACACACACGCAGCACATACACACAAATGTCTCTGGCTTCATTAGATGCTTCTGCAAAGAAGTTGCCATAATTCGGCATTGTCCGTCCGTCTGCATGTAACAACTCGAGAACCGCTGAATGGATGTTCATGTCATTTAATGTTGGGGCGTATTAATAAAATTTATCTACACATTACAGTTTCTGTTAAAATGAGACGACATTAACAGAAACTTTACATGAAAACATCTGAATGTGGTTCTGCGTTCAACTCGGGTGTAACTAGATAAATATTTATCGGAACGAAAAACGTTTCGAACAAAAGTTGTAGAGACAAATGAAACACGTTTTATGTCCAGTATACTTATGCCGTGAATATGTCTTTGATATAATTATACAAAATGGATATTTATGCTGTCATTGGATTGATTTTTACTGTTTTACGCTGTTTATAAGACATCAAAAGTTGGCATGCAAGAATTTAAAAATGTAGAATATTCACACAATTCATACATCCCGTGCTTTGTTTTAAAATGCGTTGGTGATAAAATTTCTGATTATGTGGTCACTTTTACTAATTTAATAAACGCGTATTTATTCTGGCAACAAAATTAACTCGCCGACTATTTATTATGCAGTAGCCAGAGGTCAGTTACATGGGGACACAGCGCTGGATGTCGAGTTTACCCCATGTAAGAAGCAACCATTCTAGTTTAGCCACGTGACTCAGGATGGGGTCTGTTGGCGGGCTAGGGTAATGAAATTCATGTTTAGTAAAAGATGGAGAATTTCTTGACAAGTTAAACATCTGTTAGCTTCTGAAGGACTCTTCCCCGTGGATTTAGTCATGCGTATATTACTGATGCCTATGCTAAAAGAACACGAAACTAGTTAATAGGATTCCTGAGAACAAACCTTGTCACTTCGGATATCTGAAGGCTCGAATAAATGAATAATATAACGAAATGAGCTGGTCTTAGACAGGATAGGCGAAGGAAGAAGTCTATGGAAAAATCTTACCGGAAGAAGAGATAGGATGGTGGGACACATTCTGAGGCACCCAGGATTGGTTAATTTGGTAATGGAAGGAACAGTTGAAGGGAAGAATTGTAGGGAGAGACACGATTGGAATATGTGACGCAGATTTATGAGGATGTGGGCTGTAAGAAGTATGTGGAAATGAAGAGATTGGCGCAAGATAGGCGAAAATGGAGGACCGCATCAAACCAGTCGAAAGACTGATGACAAACAAACAATAACTTTGATTTAGTCGTATCACACTGGAGCAATTGAGAACAAGGTGTTTGTATGACTGACCAATAAATAATTTTTTAAATGCGTTTGAAATGTAACACTCGTTAGAAAAGTATCGTATGAAGATGAGGTTCATAATTACATCGAGAGACATTCCGGTAATTGCTGTATGCAAGGCATCTCTCCTTGAGCCGCTGTGAGACGAACTTAAGATACGAAAATATTTTATTTGCCCCGTTGTGTGATCGTGGTGCATGGTCTTTGCTGTGAAGGAAGTATGAATGAACGGCTTATGAAAAGTGTTTGGACGTGAAAAACATGAAGCAAATATGGATTCGTAGACGCGTCGTCATGAATATATAGTTTTGTTGAGCTAATTAAATTAAGTGGGTCATAATGGGCTAGAAATAAGAGTCACAAATGTTTTGTTGGAATCACCACTTTGGACATAGAGATTGGAATTATATGATGCTGTTAAATTTTAAAGTTTACACTCTGTGCGCAAAATGCAGAGTTTTTGATAACAGTTACAACTGGCCCACAGCAGACCAAACTTATGTTTGCTAATACGTACGAGTATTTAACTTTCTCTGGAAATAGGTTACTGGGCTGTTCTGGCTTGATTGAAACGGGTGCACTGTTTTTATTGTATATGCCGAAACATTTTATTATGGCATATTTCACACCGTAGAGACTGAAACAAATTGTTTATTTTAAACACTATTGTGGGCGTATGTAAATGTAATAGCAGTCGTTCAGCCAGTCAAGAAATGTTTTGCCCAAATGTTTGTTAGGTGTTAGTAAGAGCCTGCCATTGGTCATCCTGAGCCATTTGAAATCAGTCTCCACACCTTCTCATGCTCTCCCCCCCCCCCCCCAAAAAAAAACAACAACAACAACAACTCATTTTAGTATTCTCCAATCTACGTCTTGGTCAGACATATCTAGAATTAAGGTGTTACCAAGTTTGTTACTTATCAAGCCTGGATAAATAAATAAAATAGATGAGATTTGAAGCCCTCACAGGAGTGATGTCAATGTTGATCTGTGTGGTAACACCATCTAGTGAATGAATGCTTTGACTTTGTCAGTTATTGAAGCTTTTTTGTACATTTTGGAATATTGGCATGACATTGTGGCCATGAGGCAATTATATTCCTGAAAGTAGATGTGGAAAATTATTT